AAAAAAAAACATATACAAAATAAAATGCACAGCTGAAGTGTGCTCAGCTGTTGCATTGCATCCATGCATCTGTTATGATGTACATTATGAATTGAATAGTCTGATGGCGGTTGCGCAAAAACGACGTGTAATGGATACATGATTGTTTCCTTTTTGTATAAATATCCACATAGATCAGAGAAACAAAATGTACATCTGATTCGGGGGTTTGTTTGAAGAAGTCACACAGTTGTTGGAGCAGTAACGTAGTGGATAATAACAAATTCATGGAGAGCAAAATCACCACTAGGTGGCAGCAACTTACCAATCATCTGTGCGACTGTTTTCTCATATTCTGCAACTATTTTCCTGTCAGAATAAAAACCCAAAGCAGTTACTGTCAGCTTTGTTTTCACATGTTCAATTGTGTTTAATATAACATAGACAGGAGCACTCAGACAAACAAATGCCTCGTACCTCATTTCCATAACCTCTGCTCGGCTTTCTTCATATTTTCTCTTCCATTCATTGACCTCAATCTCTTTAACGATGATCTGTTTAGACAGGAGAGACATAAAATTAAAAACCCAGCAATGATCTAAAATAAACAGTTAAGCATAATAACAACCGGCCCTTTTACCTCTTCTCTGATCAGGGTTAGCACTGCAGCTTTGTCCATCTCGCTCAGAGGCACGCTGTCCTGGGACAGGGCTGCTGTGTCAGGACCCTCATTGCAGGTCAGTTTTGTTGTTGTGGACATCGCACTCTGTGGAAGGAAACATATTGTTTGAGGCTGTTTTGAGGCAAGTAGCTACACTACAATAAATATTACAAAATCTGGTTTGGCCATAAGGTGCAAGTGATGTTATCTTAGACAAATATTGTGATTCATTGAGCAGAAATAGCTATGAATGAGAGCATAGTTGGACCTGTTATTGCTAACCCGAAGAACAGCTGACAATGAAAAACAATCCTGTCATGCTAAAATATTTATACCCCCTTGCTATTGTTCCTATAGTCCACTTACTATATCATCTTTCAGGCTGAAGCTGTCCTTCTCCTCCAGCTGGTCTGCAACCTTTGTCTCAGAACCTTTGACAAGATCAAACACGTAACTCAATAAGAAAAACTACTGTAACTATCCATATCACAGTTTTCAAAAACAATCAAATGCACATGAAGTAAAGAGTTCATACTTACTATTTGTCTAGTTCTGTGCTTTTTGTTTTGGTTTTTTTTATTGAAAAGACTGCATGGCTGGTCCTTATGCAGTATATGGGGAGCAGTATAAATACTGCCCAGTGTAGTATTTATACATTTCTTTTATCCAGGACAGAATACTGCTGAGCATGCCTGGTACATTTTTCTTCCCCTCCCTTAAGCGTGACGCAGTAGTTGTTGAGAAAATTATGTAACCGCATCACCTTCCTCGTTCACATCGTCTTATCAGTTTTATTAATAGAACTTGCTGTGTAAGCATCCTTTCCACTGAGGCTGATTTAAAAGAAAATCTAAGATATTGTGCTTTTTGACTTAAAAACATTGTCCTCAGACGTTACCTTAACTTTTAGCCAAATTCTATCCAAGCAAAGCCTCCGTTCACTCTATATTACCGTCTTAAATCCTTAAATACTCATACTTCTAAACAGAAATAGGCCATGTCTGTACAAATGTCACTGTAGAGCTTACCATCCATTATAGCTCTGTCACTGCTTAGCTGCTTTTTTACAGGTGCTTTATTGCATTCTGGCTCCTCTCTTTCCTGCTGGCTGTCTGTTGTCTGTCCCATCATACAAGTGGAGGCCAGCTTCTCCTCATC